GGGGCTCCTGGGGACCGGGATGGGGACGGGGAGCGTGGCCCCGGTGCACACGGCCCGTGGCAGGTCTGAGTCAAAACGCCTAAGGCCGACCCTGGCCGGTCATGCGGAGGGCTGCCCAGTCATCGCCTTATGCCTGGGCCACTCAGAAGGGCCGGGCACCGCCCCGTCAGCTGTGACTCAGGTCCCAGCAGCCCTGCCACGCAGCACGGCCAGGGGCTTGAGACACGGGGACACACCCCCCTCCCCCCTCGGGGCCCCACTTTTCCCCTCGGCCACCCTGAAGCCCCTGCCCCACCTGTGCCGGGGGCCGTCTGGCCAGGAACCTGGGGTTCTCTGCCCCTGTTACCCCCAGCCCTTCATCGGGGGGTGGGGTCGAAGTGGGGGGAGCCTCCGAGCCACCCGGCCCTCGACGGGAAGTCAAGTGGGGGGTGGGGTGAGGAGCCGGCTCCAGAGAAGATTCAGCAGGAGAGGGAAGCAGAGGGGGCCCTGGCCCCGAAGCCGACAGTGTCCCACGAAAGATCCAGCACTCAACCCCGCAAGACGCCGGAGGGTCCCGTGCGTGCACAGACCACGGTAGGCTCCCCGATGGGGCAGGGCTGGGGGGGGGGTAGATGCCAGCCCCCAAATGTATCCTCGGCCGGGCACACACTCCCTCCTCCCTCGTGCGTCTGGGAGGCCCCTGGTGGCCCGCACGGTTCTCCGGGCCTCAGTCGCTCCATCTGTGTAATGGGTACAGTCAGCCGTGCCCTGCACATCTCTCGGAGGATGTTGAGGCAAAGAGGACAGACCAGATGTGGAAGTGTCAGGTGGCCACGTGAGGGGTTAAAGATCGTCTTGGGGTTAAAGGGCAGAGGAGAGAGCGCGGGATGGGGAGGACAGAGTCCTGGCTTCCTATGATCCCCAAGTCACCGCTCTGGGGATAGCGATTCCCGATTCCCAGATTCCCAGGGAACCTTCCTGTTCCCTTTTCCGATGAAGACGAGGCCGAGGGTCCCTGTCCCTCCAGGAGGGGCTCCGGAGGGTCCCGGGGTGGCCCCTGCCTGCCTGTGCTTTGGGAGGAAGAAGGGTGATGATGGCGTTTGTCAAAGTGAAGTTCCCCACGGGAGGCGGTGGGCAGTGTGGCCCGTCAAGGTCATGGCCCCTTCGTGTTTGACCTTGGGCCAGCCTGGGACTCAACTACGCGGCGTCTTCTTTGCTTATTCTGTGAGGTAGGCCCAGCCGTGGAGACACGGCCTCAGGGGCCATGGTAAGGAGGAAGGAAAAGCAAAGTCTGCCCAGAGCTTGGAACCTGAGGGCAGGCTTCCGGGAGGGCGGGGGCACTGTCCCCAGGGTCTGTCTG